GTCTTTTTTAAGCAATGCTTCATTTGTAGCCAGCAGTAAGCAACACCCTTTTAGGTGCATACGTGATACTGAGAACCAAATTCAAAATACACTTGTTCACCCTTAGTATGGCCTGCTACGCAAGATACTTCCCTGAAGAAATATAACTGAATATATCTTATTTTTTCTGCAAAAACCCTTAGAATAAACTACAAATTTTGATAGTAAAAGTATCAAAGAATTGATTATGCTCTTCTGTTTATTCTTCTGCGTCATTTATAACTTACCCATCCAATAGCTTATAATTTTAGCAAACTTAAAAAGTTTTTACAGCTTTGTCATCAAGGTCCAGAGGTTTATAAGAACAAGAACTAACTAAACAACTCAACACCAAATTAAGAAAATCCTGCAGACACCGAAATGTTGGAAGTTAATTTACAATGCCACCAATTTAGTAGAATTTTAACTGCTTCTCTCCTTATAGTAATGCTGTGCAAGTTTTTGATTTGAAGCGAAACTAAGCCCATGGAATCATAATCAATAAAATACACAAATGCATATTAGAAGACATCTCCTTTAGTGACATATGAATTGAAAACTTATAAGGTGTTTCCATTTTATAGCAAATTATAAATGAAAGCAATACGCACATGCTTTCAAGCTTAGCCACAAACTGTACAAATTAGCTTTCAATTTTAACTATTAAAATACTTTTACTAATTCACTCCTTTTCTAATACTTTTCTAAATATTACACAAGAAATTGACAAAGTTGAACTGCGAATTATTATGTGATTACACGAATTTCTAACAAAAAGTAAACAAAATTAGCACTAAAACAATATTTATAAAAAATATTTATTCAATTTCAAATTAAGAAGTAAAAAAAATTCCATCATTTAAATTTACTTGTTTTAGGAAACAAAAAGAAATTATGCCAATATTCTCCAATGAAATAACAATGATATTTTTCCTCCTCCCCAACTACTTACATACAGGATGGTAACAATCCTTTTAATTTTTAAACCCAAGTTAGTTTCAGGAACATTCAAAAATTGTTTTTGTGACAATGTCTCAACAAAAAGCCCCTCTCCCCCATTTATATTTTACAAAGTTTCAAAACAGTGTCAAGCTAAACTGAGCTAGTACACAAAATGATATACACTGTAATTTTTAAAGGCCTTTTGGACTGGCACTTTAGTAGTAAGCAGGCTGCTGGTGTATCTTGGGAGAGGTCAAATGGTGCCGGGGAAGGGGAAAAGGAGCTTGCTTTCCATTCCTGTGTGCATGCAACAAGCAGCAAGACAGCAAAGTTACTCCAGTTAGCTTGTACTCAGCTCTGCTTTCTGTTAAAGGACATAATACAAATGGAGAAGGGAAAATGCATCATAGATCTAACACAGATGGTTACTGGCACAATAAGAATACAGATCAAAACATCAAAGCTATTTACAAAAGAAAATACCCAGTGCAAGCAGTGACCAAACACCAGACTTTAAAAAAAAAAATTAACTCTAGTATTCTTTGCTTAATGAAATCATCTTTATAATCTGATATCTTCTATGACAATCTGAAATTGTTCTGATGTAAATACTTAAAACTTCAAAGCCAAATAGGACTTCTTTATAAAACTATAACATAAAAATAGTTGAAGAAGTTTTAAATAGAATGATTTTTCTTCTATTTAGGATAACAAGATAATCATAGGACAATTTATTAAAGCTATGTTTTGAAGTTTCCTGAATTCTATTCCAAATTATTCACAAAAGCATATTAAAATAGTGGTATCTTACAAATTCACCTATTTGAAATTTAAATATGAAAACAAAAGGAAGACTTTAGATCATATCAAATATTCCTTATTATGATAAACAAGAATCTAAATATTATAAAAATCAAGCATCTCAGATTTTATCATTTCCTCTTATAATCTCCATTAAAATTATAAACACAAAATGTACTCTCTAATTAATGTATTATTATTTAAAACTTAAGCTTGACCTGATGCAACAGCCACACTACAAGCACTGTATGGTACATCTAGGACTAAAACTCTCACTGTTAAACCAGTTGCTCTTCCTCACTGCTACAGAAAATAAAATCTTAAAACTATAAACATTTCTACTGATAGATCACTACATTTCAGAATATAATTTAGTTAGTGGCCTCATAACCTACCTGTAAATGTTTTACCAAGTAAGCCATATACAGAGCTAACAAAATAAATTTTTAAATTCTAATGTCATAATTACATGCAAATTTCTTCATTCCATCTTATAACTCATCAAATAACCTGCCTTTAGTATAGCTACCAGAATGATTTAAAAGGAAGATAATTTCCAGTTTTCCGATAAAACAGCGTACCTGCCAGCAGAAGATCCATTTAATGAATTATGAAGGTTTGGAATATTTGAACCTAGGGAAGGATTTGAGTTTCCCTGCTGAGAACTCCCATTGACTGGGCTCCCATTACCTTTCAAAATACCAGTACACTTCCAATTGTCCATATAATTAGCTGAAAGGAAAATAGCCAAATACATTAACTTGATTAATACCTATGCACAAGGGCACAAACCTGTACTCATATCTTTAAACTACAATTAAAGAAACAAGAGAGAAGCCATGGGCTATATTTCTTTCAGGATAAATATTAAAAATGTTCTAAAAATGAAATACACGTTATCTCCATTTTAATAATATTTTTAAGTTTTCAAAGAATTCTTAATACTAATTTAAAAACATAAAGCTTTCTTTCCGTCGGGCATGGTGGCTCACACCTATAATCCTAGCACTCTGGGAGGCTAAGGCGGGTAGATTGCTCGAGGTCAGGAGTTTGAAACCAGCCTGAGGAAGAGCAAGATCCTGTCTCTACTATAAATAGAAAGAAATTAATTGGCCAACTGATATATATTAGAAAAATTGAGCCGGGCATGGTGGTGCATGCCTGTAGTCCAGCTACTTGGGAGGCGAGGGCAGGAGGATTGCTTGAGCCCAGGAGTTTGAGGTTGCTGTGGCTAGTGGCTTGCACATCATTCATACATAATAGATAATAGCATCAGGAGGTTTAGGGTTGGCTGTGACTAGGTGATGCCACATACTACATTAAGTACATACGATTACATGACGATTCAATAAATAAAATCAAAACAACAAAACATTAAGCTTTGCATCCACCCACTTTCCTTCCTACAACGGTAAAGTATTAGCAGAGAGAATTCTCTAAGCTTACCACATTATTTGAAAGAACATCAACATAAAATCTTTGTCTTCCTTATAATGAATTTCATGTACAAATATGTAGTTAATGGACTTGCCTTCTTTGGTTATGCAAGTAAAAATTATGTGGGAGCCTAGGTCTTCTGAGACGATGTAGGTAACAAAACCCTTGGTATCTGAGTGGCTTATTGGGAATTGCAAAATTTGGGCCAATGAAAAGACAATGAACCCAAGAAAACCCAAGTTATGGGAGCGCCTGCTAGGGTGCACAGCTGGGTGGTCCTTTTGGACTAAGCCAGAGGGCAGAAAAGCCTTGAAAATCGAAAATTACAATGAGGACAAGGACAGTCTTGGCTGATTCCATCAAAGCCTAAAAATCGAACAATGAAGCCCATCCAAGTTACCAGTCGTGCCACTTTGAGAAACAAAAAACTGCCTCAAGGTAAATGAACAAAGACAACTCATAATTTGGTGCTCAGTATGGGACACCACCATTATAGTGGTATGTACGTAAAAATTCACGGACATTTTTCAGTGGGGATAAGCATCCATGGGAAGAGTACATAGCGAACCAAGCTACAGAGACTATAGTCAGCATGGAGCTGGACTGAATCAAGTTCCCTCTCAGTTGGCACTGTAAGAAAACTGCTAGAATCAGAGGCCCAAGGGTCCTTAAACTTTTGGGGTGTTGTATGAGGAAAGGCAGGGAAAATGGCAGGATGTATCCCTATTAAAGGACTATCTAAAAGCAATTAATTTGATAAGAGATGATTGTTGTGGTGGTTCTATCCTGAGTTTGTTTAAAGCAGTCTCATACAGGTATATATATGACAAACAGTACTTTTATTGGGAGCATATTGCCATATTCTAATTTTTTTGTTTTTTGAGACAGTCTCAACTCTGTTGCCAGGGGATTAGAGGGAGTGCCATGCCGTCAGCCATTTGACTCACAGCAACCTCGAAAGACTCCTCGGGCTCAAGCATCCTCCTGCCTGCCTCCCGAGTAAGCTGGGATACAGGGCATGCACCACCATGCCGGCTTTTAATTTTTTTATATACTTTTAGTTGTCAAGTAATTCTTTCTTTTTTTAGTAGAAGACTGGTTTGCTCTTCCTCAGGCTGGTTTTCAACTCCTCGACCCTTGAATTGATCCGGCGGCCTAGGCCTCCCAGCAGTGGCTAGATTACAGGGCCGTCAGCCACCGGGCGCCACCGGGCGAGATATTTGTATATTCTATGATATTTACTTCTAGTTTTAAAAATGTCATTACACATAGAAACTAAAAAACAATTCAGTAGCATTAACTGCTATGAACCTAGGGTAAACTGATGTAAATAAGCAAAATTAGTAGGCTGGTGTGGGTGGCTCACGCCTGTGAATCCTAGGCCACTTTTGGGGGGAGGCCGGAGCGGCAGATTTGCTCAAGGTCAGGAGTTCGGGAAAACCAGCCCTGGAGGAGACCCCGTTTCTACCAAAAATAGGAAATAAATTAAGTTGACCAACTAAAAAATTATATATACCAAAAAAAAAAAATGTAAGCAGGCATCGGGGCCACATGCCTGTAGTCAGACTAACTCGGGGAGGCTGAGTGCATTTAAGGATCGCTGAGCCCCGAGTTGAGGTGCTGAGCCAGCGAGGCATGGCACTCACTCTGCCGGCAACAAAGTGAGACGTGTTCTTCAAAAAAGAAAAAAAAAAAAAAAAAAAAAAAGATAATAAGTAATAATATAAGCCAAATTATATAACATACTAATTTAAAAGTAACTATAGAAGATAGTATTTTTCAAAATATATCAAAGTTCACATTTTGAAGCAGAAATATAAAGCAGCAATTATCCCTTCACTGAAATCTTTTTTTTTTTTCCTTCACTGAAATCTTACCTTTCCACAATCGTACACAGCCATCATCTCCTGAAGATGCTAGCACTGTTCCTGTTATATTCCAACTCACTCGCCAGACCTGGGAATTATGATTATCAAATTGAGCCACGATATGGATTTCAAATTTTGTTGGCCCACCAGAGGAAGTAAGTTCTTTCCTGTTAATAAAAAAAATATTTCTGAGAAAAGTTTTTAAAAAGTGTGTGTACATACATAGTGTTCTAAATAAAAATTACATATGGTCTCACAAATTTACCACATTATTTTATAATAATGTATACATTTGTATTCCCCCCACCCCTTGACCCTTGAGCTGGGCCAATGTCATTTTCATTTGACGCCCCAGGACCTGGAGTGATCCCAACACACAGAAATGATATTCAGTAACTGTTTCATGGAAGAAAGAATAAAATATTATCCCAAATTGAAATTATTCTTATCCCAAAGTGAAATTATCATCCCAAACAAGGATGAAAAATAAAATTGATGATAATTTTCAAAGGAAAGAATGGGAAAATGGAAAGAAGGGGGAAAAAAAAGAACTAAAACTCATTTAAAATTAAAGGTAAATATTTCTTCACAAGAATATCTCAATGCCTAATTTAGTTTTAGCCACTCTCATTCATTTAAAAATACACAATACCAATTATATTCAGAGAATCCAATTCACTGTTAGTATCAGCCTAAATAAAACACAGTTAAGGCTGGGCACAGTGGCTCATGCCTGTAATCCTAGCACTTTGGGAGGCCCAGGCAGGAAGACTGCTTGAGCTCAGGAATTAGAGACAAGCCTCAGTAAAAGCAAGACCTGTCTTTACAAAAAATAGAAAAAGTAGCCAGGCATGGTGGCACATGCCTGTAGTCCCAGCTACTCAGGAGGTTGAGGCAGGAGGATCACTCAAGCCCATTAGTTTGAGGTTGCAGTGAGCTATGACAATGCCACTGCACTATAGCTGAGGCAACAGAGAGATAACTCTGTCTCAGAAAAGAAACAAAACAAAACATAAAACACAATTAATATAAATCTCCTCTCTTTATTCAATTCCCCACCCCAAAAAGTCATTTTACACATAAAATGTTCAATAAAGAATCCATTCTTGGGCCAGGCACAGTGGCTCACACCTGTAATCTCAGCACTCTGGGAAGCAGAGGTGGGAGGTTCACTTGAGGCCAGAAATTTGAGACCTCATCTCTACAAAAAACTTTAAAAATTAACCAGGTGTGGTGGCATACACCTCTAGTCCTAGTTACTCAGGAGGCAGGAGAATCACTTGAGCCCAGGAGTCTGAGGTTGCAGTAAGCTACGATGACACCACTGCACTCTAACAGAGCAAGACCAAAAAAAAAGAGCAATTGATTCTTCGGGTAATAGTTACCTCTACTCTCTCCTCCACAAATAATCAGGAGGCAAGAGTATTTTCAAATTCATTAACTATTTCTAAAACTCACCTCACAGGCTTTAATGTAAAAATTCTCACATCTTTGGTTGCTATTGCTAGAATATGGAAAGATCTTCCCAAATTTGGAGCAAATGCAATATCAT